CACCCACCCACCCACCCACACACACACACACACACACACGGGGGGGGGGCAAAGAAGAATCTCTACCTACAGAGGACATTGTATTTCAGGCCAAGCACTATATAAGCACTGGAGAGATAAGTTCCAAAGACAATGACAAGGTTGAAAGACCCATAAGAAAAGTCTTCCCAAACCTATGCAAAGCTTACTTCAGTTGCTTTCAAGTCATGTGATAGTGGGTCTTCCTCCACAAAGGCAAGGACTTTATCTCCAATTTTCACAGACAAATGGCCGATCACAACACCAGTGCTGAAGAAGACACAGTCCTCGATCCAACCATAATCATCCCCACAGCTAGTTACAATACCCATTACAATCTTGGTATTGGGTTCATCTGTAAATGGGAACATGGCAAGAGCCATGAATTAATCTGAGAAGTAATAACCTAAAATTCCTCCCCAGAGATGATACAGTACACAAACAAGTCCTTCTGCTAACAGGGTGCTTCTGGTGTGAGGAGCCCATGCAAGGAACTGGACGCAAATGGGAACCTCTGCGGGATTCTGGAGGCAGAAGATACAGGTTCAAATCCTGACATGCCATGCTTTGCACAGGAGGACCCTGGTTAAGGGCATGAGTTGGGACCCAGATAGCCTTGGTTATAACCACTGTGTCCTTAACTGATGGTCTATGTAGCCCCAAGTACATTTCATGTCCTCTCTTAGGAAATTATGTCTCCTGATTTTTGTGGGGCACATTAACAGGCAAAAAAGTCAACCCCAACTATTGTGAGTGCCCTGTACACCTTAGGATTCAAGGTCTGTGCGTGGACACTGTTTCAAGTACAACAATTACTGTAAATTGTTGTCTAATACAGTGAGGGACAGCTATAGATTTTACAGAATCATCAAAAACAGGCCTATGGGCACAAGTCTGTAAAGAATGACAGAGAAGAATCAAAAATTCAAGGCTGTCCTAAGCCACAAATTAAGCCCCCCTGGCCACCTGGGCAACACGGTAAGTCCTTGAGTCAAAATTCCAATGTGAGGAAAAGACTGTGTGTTCTGCCCAGGTGTGCAATGACTGCCTACCACATGGGGACTTTAGGTTCCACTGCCAGCGCTACGTCCAGATAATGCAGGGAATGGATTTGGTTTCATGAGGCCAAGGCTCACACCATGGCCGTAGACAGGCCCAAGATTCAGTCGTTATGCAGCTTAGGTTGGCATCAAACTTCTGACGCTCTTGCCGTTCCAGAAAAAAAAAATGCTATAGGATTGGCATGGCAAGACTGGGGCTTCTGTTGAAGGATAGCTCATGAATATTAACCGCATGCCCAGCTAATCAAAACACCAGACCAAGTTAAAATGACTTAACAGCTTGGACACCGTCCACCCCAGCAAACCTTACAGTGCCCTAGGTTCCCATCCACCCACAGGCCTTCACCCATCCTGCTTGAGTGCTCACTAAAAGTGAGATTCGAGTAGCAGGGAACAAAGTGAGCATCATTCAATCGTGCCCCCTGCTCTCCCAGGCTTGGCAAAGAACTGGGACTGACTCCCTTCTTGCCTCAAATACTGGCAAGGATGGGAGAGGATCCAAGACGGATGCTGAATTGCACTCAAATGTGGGTACTTTCCTGATCTCAGAAGTATAAGAAAGGTTCTAAGGAACTTTTGTGTCCCAGTTAGTATCAATAGGTCAAAATTCTTCCCCATTGGCCCACCAAGCGAATTTGACAAGGGGACACGGACCCACTGAGGACAGGTGCAGGCCTCTATGATATTTTGTACCCTGTGCTCACAGCTAAGGACAGCCTCTCTGAGGTGTCTCCTGCAGTGAAATCTATGGCACTGTGTGCCCAGGGACTACCTTCCAGTTGTGTCCGCTCTCTTCTAAGAGATTCAATCTTCCACTCAAATAAGTACACTAAACCACGCAACAGCCTGAATAACCGCCCGATGCCGCAGTAGGAACAGCCACTGCAATAGCAGCATGAATGCCTGGACATCGTGACCCCCTGTGGTCACCTCGTGGTCTTCTGCCTCACTTATGGGAGACAGTGCCAGATGGCGACTGGGCAGCCCCCAGGGCAGTGAGGCTCCTCCTACCACCCCAGCAGCTCTGCAGGAGGTGGTCCACAGCCTCTTGTGGAGCTGGTAACCAGTGGGCATTGTTCCGCCCACCAACCAATGACAGAGCTCCATGCACTCACAGTGCCCCACTGGCCAATGGCAGGCGCTGAGAGGAGAACCATGAATCCTCTTGTGCCTTTTTCCCCAAGCCATAGGACGATCATGGAAATGCATTGCCTTGTGAAACCTGGGCTACTCAAAGAATGGTTGGAAAGATATTGTTTCAATGTTGTCTGAGAATATTAAATTCCAGCTTAGGCGCTAGAACACAAAGGTGTCCCTGGGTGTAGAAGCGAAGTTCAATGTGCACTCAACAGAAGGACGGGCGACTTCGTGGTTAGACAGTGTTTAACAGCAACTGTGGTGGCTGCTGTAGTAGTGGGGATCATGCTACTAAGCCACAGTTTAGCAACTTAGTGTTCTCGAAGGGGCGTGGCTCCTGGAAGTATTTCACTTCGGAGTCACACAGGGTGCCTGGGCTAGGGGTCCTGAGCCATGTTCAACACCAGCCATCTCTGCTCAGCTCCTCTGATGGAAACCAGTCATGCGTTATCACAGAAGCCCCACCCGGTCAGGGTCAGCCTTAGTATGCGAAAATTCTATGTGAGCATCACCTTTCCTCATTTGTTTAGCAAGTCCCTGTGGGCCACAGCCGCATCTCTATCATGAAATTAGTGGATAAATAGGCAATTGCCTTCATCGTGGCTTAATTTTCTTGAAGCCTGAGGAAATCAGAACCGACCCAAAGGGTGACATAAAGAAGTAAATGCCCACAGTGGAAAGTCCTCAACAAGAAAGCTGACACAAAAGTGCCCTTTGAAAATGAGGTTTACTGTAACAACGGGACTTCAAGGATGCACCCGGGCCTCGTGATGGAGGAGAGTTTTAGAGAGAAGAAAAAGCAGTACATGGAGAGTGATATGTGAAGGGGGGGGGCTTCTCTTTAAATTCCAGACGTTGGTTCATTAAGAGTGAGAATAAGATTATTTTTACTTAACAGCTAATAGCCATTTACAAGTGAGCACATGCCGTGTTTGTCTTACTGAGTCCGGGTTACCTCAGGATGATTTTTTTACTAGATCCATCCATTTTCCTGCAAATTTCAAGATGCCATTGCCTTTTACAGCTGAGTAATACCCTGTTGTGTAAATGTACCACATTTTCTTTATCTGCTCTTAAGTTGAGGGGCATCTAGGTTGTTCCAGGTTCTGGCTATTAAGAATAATGCTGCTATGAACACAGTTCAGCAAGTGTCCTTGTGGTAAGATTGATTATCCTTTGGGCATATTCTCAAGAGTGGTATAGCTGGGTCTTGTGGTAGAGTGATTCTTCTCAGTTTTCTGAGAAACTGCCACACTGCCTTCCAAAGTAGCTGTACAAATTGGCACTCACACCACAAATGGAGGCTTGCTCCTCTTGGTCCCCATCCTCTTCAGCCTGAGCTGTCACTTGGGTTTTCTACCTTAGCTATCCTGATAGGTATAAATTGGAATCTGAAGGTCATTTTGATTTGCATTTCTTTGATGGCTGAGGTCATTCAACACTTCTTTAAGTGTTTCTTGGCCATTTGGTATTAGCTGAAAAGTGAAGGGTAAGCATGCTACAAACCACAGACCCAGAGAGGCTGAATGAGAAGAAAAGCTCAAGGGAGTAAATGTATGAAACTCCCTGGGAAGGGGAATAGAATATATTTCCTGGTTGTCCGGGGCATGCGGGCATGGGACCAGGACGGATCAGGTGGGAGGATGGAGGGAGACAGTACGGGGAGAGACAGCTGGAACTGGGGAGCATCTGGGGTGTGAGATTGACACCTACTACA